TCAAGGGCTGCCAACCACAAACACTTAGGATTTCACCTCTTAGCTGCAGATCAGCAGAGGATGGGCAAGGATACCCAGCAGCATGGCTCTGTGTTTGTTTTGGTTTTATTTTCTCCAAGCATCTGCTACTGTTCAGTCAGAGAGAGGAAACCTGCTTAGGTAGACCTTCGTCCTGCCCTAGCATGACTGTTCTTAAGAATTAACTTCCATCACGTTCCTTCATGTATCAGTGATTCAAGGTTATACTGCCTCAAAGTGCAACATTTGTTTAGCTGTTACTAGTTGGTCACACACTCTAATACACTGGAAAGACATGGCAATGAAACTTGTACTAATCACAAGTATTTACCAAAATCGAAGGAAGACAAAAGGTGGCAGGGGACTCCCAATACATGTACAAATGCTGCTGGACTCTCTCCTTTGTTGCCTCTATATGCATGGGAAGAGCCACAGAAGCATTTTCCTAGTTTCAGACAAAATACAGACTTTGAAACAGTCCAAGACTGTACTGCATCATCTATTAGTCCATATGATACATACAGTGACATCATTGGCAAAAAGAAGTGGTCTGAGAGATGCCTTAATAATCCATATCTTAACAATGAGGAAATGCTAATGTAAATAGAAAGGGCTTCAGCAGCTCATGTTCTTCAAGTCTTTGTTAATTGCTAAGTGCCTGCGAGGATGCACGTCGGCTCTCCTGCACTTCCTCCAGGTGATGACAAATAGCTGAACACAACTTGCTGGAAAGGGAAAACTGCAGTTTATTTTTAACTTCATGCAAGAAGGCATTTTCACATGTGAGTTCATTATCATTAGGAATTCAGGTATCTGAAGCATTACTTCAACCAAACTGGTATGTTCTGGCTGCATGAAAAGAATGTTTTCTTCTCCCTTTATCTGAATAATTCATCTCCCTCAAAAAGAGCACTTAAACCTTTATAAAGGTCCTTATTATACTTAAATTGATTTTAAAGAGGACACTTCACTTTATAAGCTCTTAAATAAAATGAATGTAGAAATTGTTAGTACACTGCATTTTAGATAAAAAGTAATCATGCATATTTTATAATTTATTTCCTACAGAATACTACTTATTAGGTCATTCTATACTTAGCAAACTGATAGGAAATATTTCTTTCCATCAGAAGAATTTATGTGAAAAATGACAACAGCTGTAGGTGAAGTGTAGAACAGAGAACTTAGACCTCTCTCACACCATAAAATATTGAAGATTGTTAATACACATTAAATGTTTGCCAAAGTCATTTTTCAATGATTTGCAGGGAAACAGTTGCCCAAGATGATACCATTTCTTCCTCAAGAGGAAAAGTGAGGAAGGTGAAAACGTTTTGCTTATATAGTTCTCGTTAGAACATTAAACTTGGGCATTTAGGTCAACTTAGGCATCAAGAATTACTTTTACCTTGGTTTTGTATGGTAAAGCCTGTCCCTCTGTCTTTAAGAGCCGAGATAAGAGCAACTAGTAAGGCATGAAAGGTCTAAAAAAACCATCTTATTGTGCTTAATTAGAGTTAAGTCATGCTGTGGTCCTATACTTAACATGCACATGCTCTTGCACTTGACACCTATTAAATGTTGAAAGATTTTCTGTGACCTGTGACCTCATAAATCCCTTTACACACTTTGAAATCATATAATTTTCATAGCCATTGCAGAAACAAATTAACAGAGATAAAAGTCAAATGTTCTTAGCAAATAAGAGCAATGGCTGGGAACATCACTAGTAGATGGCAATCTTAAGAATTACATTATAAAGTGCTATTCTTTTGATGCAGATTGACTTTTATGTGCACCGTGTCATCCTGCAGGAAGCCAGACTACAGGTCAGAGCACACATTTCCATCTTTAACCTTTTGAAGGGCTATGCTGGTTTAGAAACAGTGGAGACATCTATAGGGAAGTTAATTATATAACCAGCATATGTCCTTTGATAAATACAGAGAGAGACACCTGTTTAAAGAACAGGCTTTACATCTCTAAAAAGCTAAGCTTTTATAACTAATTTGAAATAGAAAGAGCGGCATCATTAAAAACAAAAAAGCATCAGCTTTTGTTTTACAGATCATCAAACTCACATAACACTTTTAAAGCAGTCCTATAGTTAAAAACATACTAAGAATTGCATCAAGTCTCAGTATAAAAATATTCAGCTCACATCAGATGACTACTTGCATACCTGTAAATTCATAACAAGAGTGGCTTGGTTCTTGCATGAGACGACAATGGCAATTATGGACCACTCCTTTCTCTTCCTATAAAAATAATACTTCAAGCTATTAAATACTGCAATTTGGAAGAACATGTTGTAGCTTTTCTAAAAATGGAGATGAAACAACCTGAATTCATTGGAAGCACTCAGTAATCTCAGAGGGGAAAAATACAGCCCAAAGATGAAAGGAGTTCACAAATTATCTTCATCAACTTTAAAAAAACCCCCAACTTTCAGAAGTAATGTCAGTTTAGGTTTTGCAACTGTGTGCTAAAAAAAGAGCACAAAAAAAGCCACTGTAGCAAAATGAACCAGCAGCAAAGAGCCCAGGAGAAAAAAAATTGCTTCGCAAGCACTATTTTTTTCCATTTTTAACCATTTGCTGTTACAATACTCCAATCCCTTTTCATCCTAGATTCAGTGCATTAAGGAGACTCATTTCTTATGAAAATATTCAGGGAAGCTGTAACAGTAAAGATTCAAAGTTTATTTAAAACCCAAATTACTCATTTTTTTTTCAAAACAGCCAGAGGGGAGGGGGGCCAGAGGCACCCTGTATTGTTGGACAGTCTCTAACCTACAGAAGGCACCCATGGACTCCACAGCTGGTGCTCAGCTTGGGTCCCTGCACCTCTAACTCACACAAATGCTGAAGAGCTGCTCCTGTGTCCAGCGTGGTCACAGAGGCTTTGGCAGCACATGGGCACCTGTAGCACACAGGTCTCAGTAGCACAAATAAGGGCCATCAGCAATATAATCCAAACCCAAATTTTCAAAGAAAGTCTTAAATATGACCAATAAATATGAAGACCACCTTAGCTTTGGTTAATATTCATGTTCTAGAATATACCATGGATTAGATAGATTTGCTAGCCATTTCTAGATTGCTAGCTTTTAAAAGTAGGAAACTATATGCCTTTAGGGCAGCTTAAAAATCATAAAATCAATTCATGTCATGATGAGTCCAGTTCCTCTTGAGAATAGGAACGCCTTGTTAAAACAAAGAGCACATGGAAACACATACTCTTCCCCACAGGACAGCCATTCATCGTCATGCAATAGCAGTTCACAACACAGGAATCAAATGCCCGAATGAGAGATTTTATTTAGCTAGTTTTTTGAATATGGAAGACATAGAAGCCCTCTGCACAACACAAGTACTGAGGGAAAGACTGCAAAAGAGACCACTTTACAAAACCTCCTGTAATGCGGTGAAATGGCCAAATACTACATCTGAAATAGTATGTCAAAATAGGCTTTGACATTAAAAAAAGAGTTATTGCAGTGGGTGCCCAGTCATGTGATTTTCATGGATTCCGTGATTATAAAGCAAGAATTGTGCTGCACAAACACTGCTAAAACGCTGGCGTAGGAGTATTATTCACATGCTTTTGTGACTTGGGTTCAGCACTGGTGGATGGAAATCATTTTACTTGTCCAGAGATGCTGTCTGCCTACAGAAGCATGTCTGCTCCCGGCTGATCGTCCTGCTGCCTCCCCCTCTCCCTCTCCTCCTTCCCTTCCCTCCCCTCCAGCCAAATCTCCCCTCCACGCGTGCGCACACATTCACGCCCTCATGGGCTATTCATTTTGAAATCACTATGGTAAGTACAAAGGGCTACAAAGAATTAGAAAAATAGCAGATGGTCTCTTCAGCTGGGTGATAAGCAATGCAAAATACAACCACATAAAACAAATAAATACAAGTATTTTACAGGCTTCTACAGTCATAATTAGAGTACGTGGTTTTTTTTTCGACAGTTCATAATTTTCTCCCACCTTGAGAGATTAATGCCACTTACAGAACCGAGGAAAGCCCATAGAAATTATTTTTCCTATACATGTGTTTCTTCTGTTACAAAACCCAGAGCTATCAAACCTGGTGATAGCAGTATGTTCACAGTCTCAGTTCAGCTGCCACACACCACTTAAGCAGCCACAGTATCAGCAATTGCTGAAATCACTGCTTGCATTACAACGGCTCCAGCAAACTGCGGGCCAAGGAGAGGGCACCCCCCTGCATGCTAGGCATTTAAGGATTTTAACTGCATTGTGCATATGGAGGGGGCATGGTGGTGTTTGGGTTGATGGTTGGACTTTATGATCTGGAAGGTCTTTTCTAACCTTAATGATTCTGTGATTCTGTGATATATAGTCATACATTTGAAAAGGGTCTGAAAATACCGTACAGTTTAATCAAAACATGAATTAACAGAGAAAAATGGAGCTGATCAAATGGGAAAACAACTTTTGGTGGCTTCTGTTCATGTATTGCATTCTGTGAAGGCACAAGTAAAGAAAAGTCCAATTTACAGTACTACTGTGTTCCAGTAGCATACCGTCTTTGCCAAGGATAATACTGGAAAACTCCTTTGGGAAACCACAAGCATCAACTCCCCCCCCCCCCCCACCCCCGCCCAC